TTAGTCCCACTTGGTTCACCACCTAGGTTTGGCGGAGGAACATAAGGGACCATTTGAGCGTAGGGGTAGTTGACAAAGTCAAAATACCCGTGAAGCTCACGGCTCAGAATATTGACGTTATGTGCCGTTTTGGAGACGTTGGTGTCTATCCGAGAAAGGGTGGTTGTCAAAGCCGCCATTTGCTCGGCGAGAGACAGATTGGTTGAAGCGGTGGCAGTCGAGGCAGTAGCTCTCGGTTGGCGACGAGGACGAGGCTGCGGGAACGTAGCTTCATCGGTTCCCGAGTGGAAGGAGGACTCGTCAATCACCCAATGCTTCGTCCCTTTGCATTTTAGGCCGACGTTCGTCTTGATGTGGTACTCATCAAGGATTGCCATGACGAGAAGAGCGTAGGGGAGCGGCCGGTTGTCGGAGGTGGCGTGGAACATGTGGATCATCACAAATTTACACCAATTGATATTGGCGTTGTGAATCATCGCATGGATCGTCTTCGTGTCTTCTTGGGAGAGAGTGGTGTGGTTGAACTTCCTGGGCTTGAGGATCCGTGTCAACACATAGAAGATGAAACGATATACGGGACTCATGGAAGAAATCGTAGGTCGCCGCTGTTGAGGAGTGGGGACGAAGTTTCGGATGCCCACTTCCTCCAAGAGGGCGGTCTCGTTGAACCGTGCTCCTTCTTCTCCGATGTAGAGCCCGAGATCCTTTCCATCCCGTCGAAGCCCGGTGAGGATTTGAATGTTCTCCTCATTCAAATAGATCTCTACCCCATTGACGTTTGAAATCAACGATCCGTCCTCATCCTTTTTCAAGTTCGAGTAGAAGGCTCGAACAAGAAAAGGTTGATAATGAGCCTTCTTGATGTAGAGGAGGTCGAGGAAGTTTCCACCTTCGAGAATAACCCGTGCCTCACGTGGAATGGAATCATGAATAAAACGGGCAGTGGAGAATCGAGGAGGGAGAATTTCCCGGTACTCAAACTTCTCCGAGAACCGCGTTGCCTCTGCGCGGTCGTTGAACCAAAGGAACGACCCATCGAGGTACTTGTGCGCCGGTGGTGGAGGAGCCGAGGAGGAAGCAATGTTCTTCCCGGTGCGAGATCGTTTTCTTTGACCTCCTGCCATTGCAACAAGAGAGAGGAGAGAACAAATTTGCAGAAATTTTATATAGAAAAAGAGGAACTATTGCAAGAATGATGAATTATGATGAATATATTGAGAGAATATGATTAGAATGAGTAAATATTGAAGGGATATCACCAATTTATAGTGGAGGAGGCCTGAAGATCCGTTGGTGTGGTCAAATGTGAGTTTAATGCAGTTCCAACGGTTAGAAAAATGGTCAGATTTTTGAAAAATCACCGTTGATAATCGATTTACACTCCCTGTAAGTCGATTATCTGAGTCTTCAGATTCTCCGCCAAAAGATCTGCAGACTTCAATAGTCGATTGCCTTGTTTTAGTAAATCGATTGTTGGAGTTTGCGCCTGACTTCAGAGAAAGTTCTGCAGCTTCAAATAATCGATTATCTCAATGTTGATAATCGATTGTTAGCTCCTTCAGATTCTTGGCTCCAAACTTCTGCGGGCTCTGATAGTCGATTATCTCAAGTCTGTAAATCGATTTACAGCATGTTTTGTAAAGAAAATCGATTTACGTTGTTCCCCCTGACTTTGACACCTGAAAATAAAAACATTTGGTACCCGTTTGGTCTTTTGGGTCCTAGAGGATTAGTAGCACGACTAATAAACACACGCACCCTTAATTACATATACATTTTACGCAAACACACACACACACACACACGTACCAACACGCGTGTTTAAGTGTTACCTTGGCCAACTTGTCGTTTTGCGGTTGGCGGGTTCCAGTCTACTCGAACCGAATGTCTATACCTTGGTTTGATTTGTGTGGGTTCCGGAAGTGGTATGTGAATCTTCTTCTTTTCATCATAATAGAAGAAGTAATATGGTTTCTTTTGCGTTGATTCCTGCAGGGATTGGTTAGAGTTCGAATATCCTTTTTCAAAGGATTTCATTAGGTTAGTTCCATGCAAAGTGTGTGTTTTGTTATACGTGTAGTGCCTATGCCTACTAAAACACACGGGTGCTATATGACCTACCCTATTGCAATAATGACAAATAACATTTGGATTATGCATTCTCCTCGGTTGATAATAGTTGCTAGGTTTTCTAACTTGACCATTGTTCATCCTAGTGTTCTTTCTAGGTGGTCTAGTGTTCCTAATTGTTCTAGGTTGTCTATTTTCATTATTCCTAAGTTGAGCTTTAGGTTTCCTAGGTGGTTGCTCAACTTTTTCCTTATTATTAGGTTCATTTTAAAATCCTAAGCCATGTTTAGTAAGTTGCAAATTATCAAGAACATCATTAAGGTTTTTATGAGAAACACCAAACTTCTTCAAAGTTCCTTCAAGTTTTGCAACTTGATCCTTAAGTGATATACAAGAATTACATTTTGAACTTTCCGGTTTGTCGGCGCTTCTTTTTTCGAAAAACTTATTTTCTTCTTTAAGTTTTTCATTATCTTTTGATAGTTTATCAACTTCCTTCTCCATGGAAGTAAGTTGTTTCTTCAAATCCTTGTTAATTTTAGAAGCGTTGACATATTCATCATAAAGTTCATTAAAGGCTTCTTGTACATCATCAAAAGTATAGGAATCTTTAGAAGTGGTACATACCTCTTCCGGTGGTTCCTCGTGTGCCATGAGGCAAAGGTTGGCGCTNTTGCAACTTGATCCTTAAGTGATATACAAGAACTACATTTTGAACTTTCCGGTTTGTCGGCGCTTCTTTTTCCGAAAAACTTATTTTCTTCTTTAAGTTTTTCATTATCTTTTGATAGTTTATCAACTTCCTTCTCCATGGAAGTAAGTTGTTTCTTCAAATCCTTGTTAATTTTAGAAGCGTTGACATATTCATCATAAAGTTCATTAAAGGCTTCTTGTACATCATCAAAAGTATAGGAATCTTTAGAAGTGGTACATACCTCTTCCGGTGGTTCCTCGTGTGCCATGAGGCAAAGGTTGGCGCTTTCATTTTCTTCGCCTTCCGATGACTCGTCGCCGGAATCATCTCCCCATGAGATGTAGGCTCGGTGCTTCTTGAACATTTTCTTCTTGTTCTTGGCGTTTGGACATTTTGGTTTTATATGCCCAACTTCTCCACACCCATAGCATTTGGGTGGACTTCCTTGCTTCTTTCCTTTCCGTTCATACTCTTGGCTCATGAACTTATGGAATTTCTTGAGCACGATCCCGAAATCGTCTTCGTCACTCGAGTCTTCCATAGCACGTTCTTGGCTTGTAGATGCCTTGAGGGCAATCCCATTCTTCTTTTGTTCACCTAGAGAGGGATAAAGAATGGTAGACTCATAGGTTTTGAGATTACCTCTAAGTCCGTCAATGGTGACGTTGGTGATGCCGATGGATTCTTGAATGGCATCGGCTTTGGAGCGCCACTCCGGTGTGAGACTTCGCAGGATTTTTCTCACAAGCTCCTTGTCCATGTACGTCTTCTTGAGAGCATGGAGATCATTAACGATTTTGGAGAATCGTTCAAACATCTCATCGATTCTCTCATTCTCCTTCATACGAAACAATTCATATTCATGGGTTAGAAAATCTATCTTAGCTTCTCGGACTTGATTCGTACCTTCATATGTGATTTCGAGCTTGTCCCACATATCCTTAGCGGTCGAACAACATGAAATTTTCCGGTAGTCGTCCGGATTTACTGCACAGTAAAGAATGTTGATAGCCTTGGCGTTGTTCTCTATTTTCTTGATATCTTGCGCATCGTATTCGTCTTCGGTTTTGGGAATGGTGGTTTCCCCAACTTTCTTCATGGGCACTTCTTCCCCATTCTTGATAATTCTCCATAGGAGAAAGTTGTTGGATTGGATGAAAATTCTCATCCGCTCCTTCCAATATGTGTAATTTGTTCCATCAAATAAAGGAGGCCTCGTGGTGGATTGCCCTTCTCCTAAACCTGCGTATGAACTTTGAGTAGAAGCCATTGATCGTTTCTCTCAAACGGTTAAGTCTTACAGAGAGTAAGGCTCTGATACCAATTGTTAGAATAAAGGCCCAACGCTAGAGGGGGGGGTGAATAGCGTTTAAAACAAAGTCGCAGGAAATCAAAAACGAGAGCGTAAAGGTAAAGAGCGTAAGGAAGGAGCACACCGAATTTTATCCTGGTTCACCACAACGTGTGGCTAATCCAGCCCCCCGAGAGACTCTCTCGAGCTACACTAACTCCGTTAAGCTTAAGGGTGCTTAACAAAGCGATACAACTTGAGAACTCGAGTCACACGAGCCTCAACACCTTTGCTTGGAGATACCGCACTCCAAGACTTCTCACGAAGGAGCAAAGAACTTCTTTCGAGTTTACAACAAGGGAACAACCTCCCTTAAAGTGTATAAAAACACTTAAACACTCAAGAATAAAACTCTCACAAAGAGTAGATATGAGTGAACTAGTAAACGCTCAAGAACACGACAATTTCTTCAAGAATAGGCTCTCAAATAGCTAAGAAAAATAGGAATGATTATGCAATGAAAGAGTATTGAAATGTTGAAGAATTGTGTATGAAATGAGAGGATTTGGGTGCCATTTTATAGCCCAAAATGGGATAAAACCGTTGCTAAATTTTCCAACAGGATGAAGACAAATTTTTCAGAGTTGCAGGGTGATAATCAATTGTCTAGACATGATAATCGATTATTAAAAGATTCCCTGTCCAAAAGTTTAAAAAACTATCCGTTGGAGGACAACGGTAACCCAGATAATCGATTGTCAACAAGTGATAATCGATTATTGGTCCTCTCAGAAGATTCTGGGTTTTGGCTGCAAAGACTGATAATCGATTATTGCATAAGTGATAATCGATTATTA